TTTGAAGAGAAAATTCTAAGTTTGAAGAGTAAATTCCAAGATCTGAAGAGTAAATTCGATATTTTGAAGAGTAAATTCTAAGTTTTGAAGAGTAAATTCTATGTTTCGAAGAGTAAATTCTAATATTTGAAGAGAAAATTCTAAGTTTGAAGAGTAAATTCCAAGTTTTGAAGAGTAAATTCGAAATTTTGAAGAGTAAATTCTAAGTCTTGAAGAGAAAATGCTAAGTTTGAAGAGTAAATTCCAAGATTTGAAGAGTAAATTCGATATTTTGAAGACTAAATTCTAAGTTTTGAAGAGAAAATTCTAAGTTTGAAGAGAAAATTCCAAGATTTGAAGAGTAAATTCGATATTTTGAAGAGTAAATTCTATGTTTTGAAGAGTAAATTACATGTTTCGAATAGTAAATTCTAATATTTGAAGAGAAAATTCTAAGTTTGAAGAGTAAATTCCAAGTTTTGAAGAGTAAATTCGATATTTTGAAGAGTAAATTCTAAGTTTTGAAGAGTAAATTCTATGTTTCGAAGAGTAAATTCTAATATTTGAAGAGAAATTCTAAGTTTGAAGAGTAAATTCCAAGATTTGAAGAGTAAATTCGACATTTTGAAGAATAAATTCTAAGTTTTGAAGAGTAAATTCTATGTTTCGAAGAGTCAATTCTAATATTTGAAGAGAAAATTCTAAGTTTGAAGAGTAACTTCCAAGGTTTGAAGAGTTAAATCGATATTTTGAAAAGTAAATTCTAAGTTTTGAAGAGTAAATTGTATGTTTCGAAGAGTAAATTCTAAGTTTTGAAGAGAAAATTCTAAGTTTGAAGAGTAAATTCCAAGATTTGAAGAGTAAAATCGATATTTTGAAGAGTAAATTCTAAGTTTCGAAGAGTAAATTCCATGTTTCGAAGAGTAAATTCTAATATTTGAAGAGAAAATTCTAAGTTTGAAGAGTAAATTCCAAGTTTTGAAGAATAAATTCGACATTTTGAAGAGTAAATTCTAAGTTTTGAAGAGAAAATTCTAAGTTTGAAGAGTAAATTCCAAGATTTGAAGAGTAAGTTCGATGTTTTGAAGAGTAAATTCTAAGTTTTGAAGAGTAAATTCTATGTTTCGAGGAGTAAATTCTAATATTTGAAGAGAAAATTCTGAGTTTGAAAAGTAAATTCCAAGTTTTGAAGAGCAAATTCGATATTTTGAAGAGTAAATTCTAAGTTTTGAAGAGAAAATTCCAAGTTTTGAAGAGTAAATTCGATATTTTGAAGAGTAAATTCTAAATTTTGAAGAGTAAATTCTATGTTTCGAAGAGTAAATTCTAATATTTGAAGAGAAAATTCTAAGTTTGAAGATTAAATTCCAAGTTTTGAAGAGTAAATTCGATATTTTGAAGAGTAAATTCTAAGTTTTGAAGGGAAAATTCTAAATTTGAAGAGCAAATTCCAAGATTTGAAGAGTAAATTCGATATATTTCTACTCTAATCTCGCTTAACTCATATGATATCGTAGTTATTACCGAATCATGGTTGAATTCAAATGTAACTAACAATTTTATATCTCAACCTGGATATGTAACATACCGAAAAGACAGGAATAATGACTTACGTGGGGGCGGAATTTGTACCTTTATACGTGCTAACCTTTACGTCCTTGAAGTATGCGACTTGGGCGATCCGGAAGTTGAAAGCCAATGGTTCGTGTTAAAAACTGATCGGTTACCCAGAGAAATTAACTCTATTCTACTAGGAATTATTTATCATGCCCCACGTAACGACGACCGGCACCTTAGGTCCCACATCTTTAAATGCTTGGACCAACTCCTAACAACTTACCCGAACTCTGGCATTCTAGTTCTAGGAGACTTTAATCAGTTCCATCCAGGTAACCTCTGTTGTTCCTTTAAATTAAGAAAACTCGTTACAGAACCAACTAGGGGAAAGAATATCCTTGACCAAGCCTACACCAACTTGACGTCCTATTACAACTCTGTCATCTTACCTCCTATTGGCTCATCTGATCATCGTAGTATTTTATTGCAACCATCGTGTAGAGAAAACCCCAGCGCTCCAACTATTAGAATCCAACAACGTGAATGCAAGGCTTCAAACAAACGTGTTTTGATTTCAACACTAGACCATATAAACTGGACGCCAATTTATAGACTTAACTCATGCGAAGAACAACTCGATGTCTTTCAGAGTACGATTTCAAACGCCATCAATTTTTGCCTTCCAATGCGTTCCGTTAAAACCTACACCCGTGATAAACCATGGATTACCCAAGATATCAAAGGCTGCATCAAAAAGCGCCAACTCGCCTGGGTAAGAAACGACACCAAACAATACAAAATTTACCGAAATAAGACCGCAAAACTCTGTAAAATTGCTCGTAAACGTTTTTACCAAAACAAAATCCGACACACGCAAGATATTAATCCTAAAAAGTGGTGGGACAACATAAAAATGCTCTCCGGCTTATCAAAACAGCAACCTCCAATGAGCATGCTTGTAAATGGTTCCGTACTCAAGGATAAACAACTAGCCGAGGCCATTAGTGATTCCTTCTATCGAGTCTCTAGCGATATTCCTACCCTACATTTCCAACCGATCCCAGTCACTTGTATCCCAGATTTGTACATAATTTCTCCCGAAGCTGTGGAGGCTCGTCTATCCTGCATTAACGAGCGTAAGGCAACTGGCCCAGACGAAATTCCGAATTGGCTGCTGAAAAGTTGCGCAGTTAATTTAAGTCAGCCAGTTTGTTCCATTTTTAACGCGTCGATTAGGAATGGCGAAGTCCCTAAACTATGGAAATCAGCAGATGTATTGCCACTTGGAAAGATCACTCAACCAAAATCTATCGAATCTGATCTCAGACCGATTTCTTTAACTACTGTTCTAAGCAAAATTCTCGAAAGTTTTGTGTTTAGTTGGCTTGCCCCTATTGTAATGCCACATATCGATCCATACCAGTTTGGAAGTGTCAAAAGATCGTCTACTACACATGCCCTTGTACACTTAGTTCATTATTGGCTTTCTGCCCTGGAAGCACCAAACACGATGATCAGAACTTGTTTAATCGATTTTGCAAAAGCCTTCGATCGAATTGATCACAACATTCTCATGCATAAACTATTAATCCTTGGGGTCCCTCCGGTGCTTTTAAACTGGTGCTCGAGCTTTCTCCAAGAAAGACAACAACGTGTTAAAGTGGGAACTCACAAATCAAGTTGGAAACAAATCGCAGCTGGGGTGCCTCAGGGAACCAAATTAGGCCCTTTGTTTTTTCTTATTATGGTGAACGATCTGAGATGTAATGCACCATTGTACAAATATGTTGACGACTGTGCGGTTACTGAAATCATTAAATCATTTGACTTGCAGTCATCCAGTTTACAACGTGAGATCGACTACATAAATCAATGGTCGGTTAAGAATAATATGAAATTAAATGTCACAAAAACTAAAGAATTCAATATATCTCTGTCTAGCGCCCCACATTCGTTCCCTGCTTTATCTATAGACAATCAACATCTCGAAGTTGTCCACACTGTTAAGCTTCTGGGAGTGTACTTGTCTGCTGATTTAAAGTGGACGACGCATATTGACCACATATGTTCCAAAGCCAGTAAACGTCTATTTGCAATTCGAATATTGAAACGAAACGGCGTTGAAGTGTGGGATCTTAGAAATGTATACTGTAGCTTCATACGACCTGTGCTAGAGTATGCCTGCCCCGTGTGGCATTTTTCATTGCCTGTATTTTTGTGCGACCAAATTGAACAAATTCAACGCCGGGCTCTGAAAATTATCTATCCTGATTTATCGTATAAAGACGGTTTGAACGAACTCAATCTGCCCACTCTTGTTGATCGGAGGGTTTCCTTGTGTAAACGGTTTTACGAGAACAGTTTTGGCACTTCAAGTAAAACTTCTGACCTTTTACCTAGAAAGAAATCTTATTCATATAACCTTAGAAATGCTAGAAACATTCCACTTTTTAAAACACGTACAAGTAGATTTTATGACAGTTTTTTACCAACCTGCGTACGGAAATGGGACTTGCCTTGAACTATTCCAATTTAATAACTTAACACAATAATGCATAAATTTGTATTGTACATATATTTTTATATATTCTAATCTAACTATTTTATTTTAATATTTGTTACTTGAGTTTTTCAGTTTCTTTGTAAACTGCCATTCAAGTTTTTAATAAATTCAATTCAAATTCAAAGTAAATTCTAAGTTTTGAAGAGTAAATTCGATATTTTGAAGAGTAAATTCTAAGTTTTGAAGAGTAAATTCGATATTTTGAAGAGTAAATTCTAAGTTTTGAAGAGTAAATTCTATGTTTCGAAGAGTCAATTGTAATATTTGAAGAGAAAATTCTAAGTTTGAAGAGTAACTTCCAAGATTTGAAGAGTTAATTCTATATTTTAAAGAGTAAATTCTAAGTATTTGAAGAGAAAATTCTAAGTTTGAAGAGTAAATTCCAAGTTTTGAAGAGTAAATTCGATATTTTGAAGAGTAAATTCTAAGTTTTGAAGAGAAAATTCTAAGTTTGAAGAGTAAATTCCAAGATTTGAAGAGGTAATTCTATATTTCGAAGAGTAAATTCTAAGTTTTGAAGAGTAAATTATATGTTTCGAAGAGTAAATTCTAATATTTGAAGAGAAAATTCTAAGTTTGAAGAGTAAATTCCAAGTTTTGAAGAGTAAATTCGATATTTTGAAGAGTAAATTCTAAGTTTTGAAGAGTAAATTACATGTTTCGAAGAGTAAATTCTAATATTTGAGAGAAAATTCTAAGTTTGAAGAGTAATTCTAAGTTTGAAGAGTACATTCCAAGATTTGAAGAGTAAATTCGATATTTTGAAGAGTAAATTCTAAGTTTTGAAGAGTAAATTCGATATTTTGAAGGGTAAATTCTAAGTTTTGAAAAGAAAATTCTAAGTTTGAAGAGTAAATTCCAAGATTTGAAGAG